CATTCAGATATACCTGATAACAGCCAGTAGAAGACTACACCAACATACATTTTTGACTTATTGCACGCTAATTTGATCAAAATAATGTCTGTTTTTTTTTCTTCACATGTTGTTGAGGGGCCAAAGAAAGACTTCAGACTAAAAAAATCCAATATTCTTCCTATTTTTCTTGGATCAGGCTTTAAAGGGTTAAAGCTGTTTTATGGGCTTTTAAAGATGTTTTGGGGGTCTTAACCCTATAATGCAAAATGTGTCATATCTGATCCGGTTTGTTTTGGATCTGAGACTTTCTGCATCATTCAGTGGTAAAAGCTTTGCTCAAACCCCTGTTGTACACATTCAGATATACCTGATAACAGCCAGTAGAACACTACACCAACATAGATTTTTGACTTATTGCACGCTAATTTGATCAAAATCATTCCAGTTTTTTTTTTCTTCATATGTTGTTGAGGGGCCAAAGAAAGATTTCAGACTAAAAAAAATGTGATATTCTTCCTATTTTTCTTGGATCAGGCTCTAAAGGGTTAATATAAAGGGGGGGGTGAAGTACAGACCTTGATATCCACTTTGGAGATGGACATCTGGGTGGTCGACTGCCTCTGAAACTCGGTTTCTGACACCTGGTCCGTTCCTCTCATGACCACCACGAACTCCCCCTCGGGGACCTCGTTAACGGTCACCAGAATGTTTCCGTTGCCCATGTCGGTCAGGTTGCCCTTGGTAACCGCCTCAGGACCGGACACTATTACCAGACTGACTTCTTTCACAGACATGGAGGTCGGGCCTTTTCTACCGATGGTGGAGAGCATTATGGAGGCGGGCTGGCCTGGATCAAACATAAAATGACACAAATAAAAACATCATAATAAGACCATGAAACACTTAACATAGACATACAGTGGGGGAAATAAGTATTTGAGCCCTTGCTGATTTTGCAGGTTTGCCCACTTACAAAGAATGCTTATTTTTCCTCATCAGATGGTTATCAATTTTTATAAATTCATATGATGCGATTTTCTGGAATTGTAAGAGCCAGTTAATGGGGAGTTCATATAAAATAATAATTTAGATTAAAAATGTATAAATATGCTTAATTTACTTTTAAGAAATTCATGATGAGTATATTTTCTAGAATGTATAACTTAGTTAATGTAAAAGGATGCTTTTATTGTGAAAAGTAATTTGGCTTCCACTACGTAATGCGTAACAATAATATGCACGTTTGAGTTCAGATTGCAGTTGGATACGGTGGAAGCAGCACAATTTTTTGACCGATCTGTACCGAGCTTTTTATTTTTTCTGCAAGTGTACTTTTTTTTTAGTTCTTTAAGTAAATATCATAAAAGAAGACTTGGTTTCAGTCGAGTGATTCAAATATTGGTTGTTAGACAAACTGCAAAGGTGGTACAACCAACTTTTGGGACGCAGAGTGCTACTACAGGAATTTTCTTTGGGATTCTGTCTTTCACTGTTAGAATGTACATATGATTAAAGTTATAGATCGTTGCATTCTTTGTAAGTGGGCAAACCTGCAAAATCAGCAAGGGGTCAAATACTTATTTCCCCCACTGTAGTTCCAAACAGTGGCCATACTTTTAAACCATCAAACTGGTTTAGATATATTTACCTGCTTGTGGGCGGCCACTGAGGGGCGCAAAACCCGAGTGAGGTCCCCCGAAGCTTTCCACAAAATCATAAATGAAGCTAATGGTGCTCTGGCCTGGAAAGAAACATTAGCAGTAAATACACAGCTACATCTACACAAACAGACACCGGTCTTTATGTCGATTCTGCTGTTAATCTACGTCTCTTTACAGCAATTGATCGACACAATTGTTTGTAAAAAAGCAGCAGGGTTGTTGGGTTGTTTGGTATAAATATTTTTGCAGTAAATACAGGACTGTCTCAGAAAACTAGAATATTGTGATAAAGTTCTTTATTTTCTTTCATGCAATTACAAATCATGAAATGTCATACATTCTGGATTCATTAGAAATCAACTGAAATATCGCAAGCCTTTCATTGTTTTAATATCGCTGATTATGGCGTACAGATTAAGAAAACTCAAAAATCCGATATTCTAATATTTTGAGATAGGATATTTGGGTTTCTTCAGCTGTAAGCCATAATCAGCGATATTAAAAGGCTTGCGATATTTCAGTTGATTTGTAATGAATCCAGAATGTATGACATTTCATGTTTTTTAATTGCATTACAGAAAATAAAGAACTTTATCACAATATTCTAATTTTCTGAGACAGTCCTGTACACAGCTACAGCTACACAAACAAACACCGGTTTTGATGTTGACTCTGCTGTTAATTTACGTCTCTTTACAGCAATTAATTAGGGGTGGGACGGTTCACAAAATCCACGGTTCGGTTCGGTTCACGGTTTCGTGGTCACGGTTTTCGGTTCGGTTCGGTATGTGTTGATTGTTAGGAAAATCTATTATGTCTTGTATAGTCAGGTTAAAACTGAAAGAAAAAAACAGTGTGACATGTGATCCATTACTGTGAAAGTCTGAGGTTAAAGTAGGTGAGATTCTGCCAGAGAGGAAACAGAGCTAATTCCAACATGTGCTTCCCTCTAAATGCAAACTGGTCCATACTGCAGACCTAGAAACTGCTGCTGGGTCTGATTTTTATGGGCTACGCTGCTTCTTCTTCTTCTTCTGGTTTCCTACTGGTGGTTGGCTTTGGGCGCAGTAGCGCCCCCTTCTGCTCTGGAGTGAACACGCTTCCCTCTGAGAAAAAGGAGCAGCAGGAACCCAACCAACACACGCCAACCCAACTCAGACAGAACCCAACGGTTCTGACGGGTTTCACAAACCCTCCCATCCCTAGTCCTGAATCATCAGGGGACCACTCAGGGCTCCTGTTCGTACCTTCTCCTTCTCCTTGGCCTCCTCCTCGGGGTCTCCTGGGACTGGCAGCGTGGTGCCTGAGGAGGACTCTGCTGGTAAGCTGAACTGGACCGACTTCAGCGGTTTGGCCGGTGGCTGCGCGCTCAGGGACTTTACTGTCTGGATCACCTTCAGGCAGCGGGCCACCGTGGTAGAGATGTCCGAGTTGGGGGCCAGAACCGCGTCCAGAGGGCCCATGAAGGGCAGGACAGAGTGGGAGGGGCCAGGGGAAAAGACAGGGTTCCCACCAGGAGGAGGTCCTGGGTGTTGAGGAGAAGGTCCTGGGTGTTGAGGAGAAGGTCCTGGGTGTTGAGGAGAAGGTCCTGGGTGTTGAGGAGAAGGTCCGGGGTGTTGAGGAGAAGGTCCTCGGTGTTGAGGAGAAGGTCCT